TTTTTTTTTTTTTTTTTTTTTAATTCAAATAAGTACTTTTGATCTTCGCAGATTAACAGGAACAAGGACATCACAGACGAGGTGAACCGGAAATCGCGTTTGCGCAGGTCTACAACATTTACTGACACAGACACTGACTCTGACATGACGTATAATTACGATTATGGGGACCCAAGTAAGTGATCTTATAAGCCTACTTATTTTGACCAACATTTTTAGTATTTTTTTATTTTCATTTCTTCATTTATATTAGCTTCATGATGTAGAAAGTCTTTGTACAGCAGTTACAACATATATATAAAGCCTCGGAATAATTCCAAATTGATAATGAGGCGATAACCGTGCTGGAAATATAATAAAAAATGCCTCTAGTTACTTAAGTTGTTCATGTGCCCAAGACAATTTAAAACAACGATCGAGTCATCTTTACCTTTGCCTAGAAGCCACGCCTGTGAATATCAAGTGGTCGAGTTTAGCCCAGATGAGGGCTGCCATGAAATTGTGTACTGATGCTGCTAAGGCTTCCAGTGCCTTCACTCCTTGTGAGAAGTCGGGCTTAGTGGACGTGAAGGAAATAGTAGACGGTTGCGTGGATGACATGAAGGTATGAATATAATGGAAGGCAATCGGTGAGAATACCGGCAAATTATATGGCGTATAACTGACTATTCTGTATGCAGAGTGATTAAATGAGGGTTATGGTATTTTCTATTTTCTATCCTGTATAAATGTATATGTATTGGTATTTTGAAGGCCACTTTTTCATCCAAACAAACCGATTTTTAAACNCTACGGCCCTGTTAAGTGTGATTAAGAATGTCGATTGTTACTGACGCCTTTGGCTCACTGACGTCATACCTGTATTTCAGATCACCAATGGGGACAAAACCTACTTAGACTCTGTAGCCAGTACCTTTGACACCATTTGTCAGGAAGAGATTTTGAAGGACCCAAAATACTACACAGCACAAACAGATGGTATGTCTTTTTTTACACTTTTTGTTCTGTTTATCATATTAGAAATATGTTTAACTGGTGATGATTGTGGCAATCGCCTGCCTATAACATATCAAACTTAGTTGAGAAGTCATGCATATTCCCTTTGTTCCAGACGCGAGCGATCCAACGGTGACCGGGGAAACTACAGGTTGGCTTTCGTTAAGTGTAACTTAAAATCAGGGCACATCTGCAGGGAAATTCGAACTTAAAAGTATCCGAAACCGTGTCACTGGAAAAGGGGCATAATAATAATAATAAATAATTTATACAAAGAGGTTTTGCATCGACGTCACTTCTGTTCAGAGGCTTTGCACTGACGTCACTCCCGTCTGGAGTCGGTAGCAGACCTCGTGACCTGCAGTTCAAAGCGGCACCGTAGCGAACTTTTGGTTTTCAACCAGAAATTTCACTTCTTAACTTCACATAATAGCCCCACCCCCCACCCCACCCCCACCCACTTAAATCCGAGTTTAAATACACTGTGTCTAAAATCCGTAGCGAGGCGTATTTTTGTATTGCAGGTACAATGGGAATACCATCGTTCATATCAAACATGTGCTCTACTCCATGTAAAAACGGGACTTGTGTCAACGGCGCATGCGTATGTGACAGGAACTGGATCGGCGATGACTGCTCTGTGGACACGACAAAACCGCCGATAGCGATTGGTTTGATAAGGTGACATATAAGGGATGAAAATCATTACACACACTCACACACTCTATCTCACAAACACATACACACACACACACAAAAATGCTGCTGTTAAATTTTTAACACGACACGAATGAGCAAATTCGCTTTGATGTATTTATGATGTGACAACGTTATCTCATAATAGGACAATGTAACAATGTCATTTTCGCAGTATTTAAGTAGATAAGGTAAAAAAAGCTAAGGTGTAACTATCGAACAACCGTGCATTTTCTAGTGCATTGGATTAAAGATTAAAATTGATTTACATTCCCTTCCCAAATAATCGAATGTGAAGATAGTTTATACTGCTGTTTTAATTTTGCAACTTTTATATTAAAATAAACTATGTGATGAAAACATATAAATAAGGACAAAGATAATCGAACCTTTCAGATCGGAGGCTTGCGATATCCGTGCGCGTCCCTGTCGTGTAGTCTTCCTTGGAATGGAGAATGTAGCAGATACGCCAGGGCTTTCGTGTCGAGTGAAGGAAAAAGTGGACTTGGTGCGTCTAGGACCGTGTTCAGATTCAAACAAGTTCCAGCTGGATCGATCCAACTCTCACTAAAATGTATTCAGTGTAATCAGCTGAATTGTCTGACATGCCTCCTTTAGTTGCTATTTAATGTTGGTTAATGACAGCTTAACTACTCGAGCAAGCGTGTCAGGCATTTCAGCCGATTACAGTGATTGCACCTAGGACCAGCTTGTGCGATGGGTTTATCTGAACGCTCCCTGGGTCTGTTCTTATTAAGTTTGCATCAAGATCAAATCGGTTTATCTCAGGGTTAAACGTTTTAGCAATTCCAACATTTATTTTTGACAAAAAATACGCTGTATTCGTCCTTGCATGGAAGCTCTTACGCATAGGTAAGGTGGCCGTTCACTAAAATCTTGATATAATTATCCATATAAAAGCAAATAAGATAAAAACCTCTGCCAAGCAAGTTTTTTTCGACGTTGGTTCGTCTGTCTCCATGTGTCGGCAACATCACGAAAGATGTTATAGAAGTATTTTGATTAATTTTTCGGGAGATGTTAAGAGAGTTAGTGACTATAAGATATTATTATTTCTTGGAGTTGGGAAAGGAGTCAGATGATTCTCTGTTTACCACTCAACTAACAGACAAAATTGTGGATAGGTTATTGAGAACTAAAATTGCTAGAGTGTTGTTATTAACACAAAATTACAGTTTAAATGCTTTAGTTTAAGCAAGCTGTCAGTGGATTTCATTTATCTTTTTCAACTGAAAAAAATATAAATAAATTACATTGTTATATCCATAAGAATTCACCATTGGTGACAATCATTTTTGTTATAATAATAATAATAATAATGATAATAATAATAATAATAATAATAATAATAATTAAGCAAATAATGGTAACAACATGAGTTCATGTGCAAATGATGGGTTTTCAATCTTGAAATGATTTTTTTCTTTATAAGGGCCCTCACGGCAGTTCCTTTAGAACGTTTACGACCAAAGGACACTTCCAGAGCTATGCAGAGGTATCCTGTGAGGTTCCAGAATCACCCGTACATACAGGTCAGTCCAATCAAAGTGACAATTTTAGTTATCTGGTAGCCTTTGACTGTGCTGTCACCTGGCGGTCACTTGGAATATCAGTTTTAACAAGCCCTGGTGTTGACGTTCTCCAGAACGTTTCCCAGCTTGGTGTAAACACAGTAGTTTGTATTGTGTTTGAAAATTAGACCTACACTGTAATCTACTGGTTACGCATTAACGTAGAATGGACAGTACAAATGCATTATCGCACCGTCGATGTAGCTCAACGCTGACGTTTCCTTCGTATAAATTGATGATACCTTACTTCCATACTGTTACATACATGGGCAGTTACATATAGGTCTATAGGTACTTCAGGGGCCCTCCAATTAAAGTTTCAAGAGTATGAGTCTTTTAGGCAAGGAAATACATATATATATATATTACCTCACCCCTTTATTTATTTAGTCATATATTTAACAACTTCGGACAAACTGAATATATTTATCAAGGCATGTGCTAACTAGATGCAGTGGTATTTTTCATGTACACAGGCGTAAAATGTTTTACCACGGGCTTTAAAGAAATTGACTGAAGTAAGATCACTGTGGATTAAACTGTTGTCTTTCTAGTTTCGTTTTTGTGAATTTTTTCCCTATTTTGATCTTTGAAAATATTTTGACTAGGATTGAAGACCTCTTCTACCTACCAGATATCGGTCTCCAGTGACAGCACCACGTGGAGCAGTGACGTCACGTTCGTTGTCTACGACTCACTGTGTCAGACATGTGGTGCTGATGGGACATGCACACTGAAGGTAAACCGTTCCCACTCTTTTGCACTCCAGGTATAAGATACTTGGGGTGACGCTGCTTGATCTACGTTTTTGAATTAAATATTATTGTCGCCATGAACCATTTGTGACAGCAGGGAATGTCTACGATATAATTCCCTGGTGACAGTAAGAGGTATTGAATGGTGTGTTTTCAATGGATTTTTCAGTCCCAGACATGCAGTATAAATGGCAAGTGTTACGCTGCCGGGGAACACAATCCCGTCAATTTGAGGAGCATGTGTATTCCCTCCCTGACAGCCTCCGATTGGTCATCAAGTAAGTCACGTGTTCTGTAACGAACTCATGTAAGAACAGCGGCACTCTATAAAATTACATTATGGTTATACATGTATTTTGATTAAAATATCCTCTTTATTTTCGTTATAATGATAGAAGTAAGTAAAAGTAAAAAGAGGAATACAAGTATCATGAAACTTGTAATAGGACAAAAAGTGTTTTAAACATGAATTAATGTGACATATTTTTCCAGCTTAAACTACCGTGATGTTCACACTCGAAATTCAACGGCAACTAATAAAAGGACAAAATACAAACGTGTGACACGAAGTAACGTGAAAAAACAATTTTAACTATAGAAATAGTTTTGCTTTGCGTCTTATATGAAACAGTCTGGGTAATAAATGCTCCTTATGCAGCTTTTAACGGTCATCATCACACCTTTTGTGCTTTAATGGAGGAGGCGTTTCATTGAAGGTGGAATAAACAATGAGCAATGATGTCTTGATAAAAACCACTGATTATTTGAAATATTTAATGTTGTCTTAAATTAGTAGAATTATTGCTGGGATTAAAATCTGCATTCAGTTTCTTTCTTTTTTTTTCATATTTAATGTGTGCTTCTCTCCTGTTTAGAAAATGAATAAATGCAGGCTGCAGTCTAAATGTATCTTGTCTGTTGTTTTCTAATGCAAGAAATCCCCCTGCAACCCATCTTTAGATTACCGCAACTACCTGATTTTTTAGAAATTGGCCCAATTTCCTATAGGATCTTATAGGATCCTATAGGACTTTTTCGTAAGCTTGTTGCGCAATCCCCGCGGGAAATCTATTCAGTGTCTAATCGGGAATTGAGCGGCAGGCTTTTTAGCGGGTCCCCATATATGATCCGTGGATCTGTTGGTCCGCTTATATGAATGTAACTGATACTAAACAAAATATGAAAAGATAGAATTAAAAAAGTAAATGGGGAAAAAGAAAGATAAACGTAACTAAAGCAAATACAAGCTTATTCTTATGCTGGTAAGATTGCTGAGAATCTTCAATCTTTATAATCATAGTACAAAAATTATATAATAAGATGTATTAGAAAAAACGAATATACATGCACTGCTAGGCCTACTCACTCATTTAGAACATGTTTTTAGTGTCAGAAAAAGGTGGAAAAGGTCGGAGTCAGTAAACGTTTATGTTTTGGCTATGATTCAGGTATGAGCAATTTAAATAGTACTTTTGATGATTTTAGTTGAAGACAAGTCTCTTAGAGATTGCCTTATAAGGAAATGTTACATGGTGGTTTGCAAGATGAGAATGGAAAATTCCTTGTTATCATGTACAGACAACGAAAAGAACATAATTACACACGTGATCAATACTGAGAATTAGAATACTTGTGAAATTGTATGAAAAGGACAATCGGTGAATAAACGTTCGAAAGCTCCGGACCGTTGTCGTTATTCCTCACTATAACACTATTGTCGTTGCGATGCAGTGTTGAAGAAAGATAACGCTGTGATCATGATTATCTTATTGTACTTACAGGTCTAGTGTACAATGACACATCATCGCGCCCCTGATTAATAAACATGTCAGTCCCATACTAACAACAAGTCGGTCTATAAATATAGTCCCAATCAAAGTTACGTATCCATTACAGAGGTCAAGAAGCCTGTGGGAAAATTGTCATCTGGTTGTAACGGAGCCAAAATTAGCCCATACTTATGTAATTTAGTCATGTCAACTGATATAGGCCTATACTAATATTATTTTGAGAAGTGACCTACAGGGCTTCTATATAACCAGTGAAGATAGTCCATTTCCGTAATGGCCGTATTTCACACATACCACGAACCCCACGAATGGCCATGAATTGACAAATTTCAGGATTCGTGGTTGAATCGTAATCAGTTCGTGAAGTTCTTAACAGATTCGTATATAATCGTAGTCAGTTCTTGCACTTCTCGACCAACAGGAATCAGTGGCAAAAAACTTTGATGCCCCTATTTCACACAGACCACGAATCCCACGAATCGCCAGGAATTGAAAATTTCAGGATTCGTGGTTGAATCATAATCAGTTCGTTAAGTTCTTAACAGATTCGTATACAATCGTAGTAAGTTCTTGCAATTAGTAAGTTCTTGATCAATCGGGAATTCGTGACAACATTTTGAGCTGTTCAAAATTTTGCCCGCGAACTCCCGATTCCTAAAATCGTAATGAAAAACATCCAGTCAAATCAGTTATAAAACTTTTTTTAAATAAAAGTTTTTAATTCTTTTTTAAAGTTGTCCCCAAACACTCGTTTTTCGCGCCTGGTGCCCCCTATGGGGCAGCCTCATTCTGTAAATCGTTTAAGTTGACACCACACCATGTAGTAGACAGATAGGCAGAAGCCACTGTCCCCAAGATGGTGGCATTGATCTTCCTCGCCTTGATCACAGGTAACCTCTTCCATCGCTTAATTCATCTAAGTATAAAAGTATTACTATGTTTCAGTTAGATATCAACATCCTAAGTAAAGCTTTAAGTGTATGTTAATTAGATAATTACACCCAAAACTGTTGGTGCTGTTATTTTGATAGGTATTATCTTATAGTCTTGTCAAAGTGTGAAGCAGCTCTACTTTCATGCAACTATAACTGAGTTTCTCTTTTGGCTTGTTTACTTATTTATATACCTGTTTGACTTTGTGTTCATCTGTGTGTGGGCTTGTTTCTTTGTTTGAAAGTGGGTTTACATAGAGAAAAAACAGAGGGCAGACAAAATTGTTTTTATGTGTAAATGAATCGTGAGACTCCAGATATATACAATGTACATGTATATCGAGAAAAAGGGATAATGTAGTGTGTGTGTGTGTGTGTGTGTGTGTGTGTGTGTGTGGTTGGTTGGTTGGTTGGTTGGGGCATAGACCCACGCCCTATTCTTGGCCTTGAAAAAATTAAAAAACTTCCTTTTATGACGTCACCGTAGGTCTGATCGTCGCCGACCCCGATCCGTGCACCAATTATGTCACCCTGGACGACGACAGACGCATGGCGCACAATGCTGTTAAAAACGACAGTTGTATCTTTAACGACCATCAACTGAAGACCTTGTGGTACCGGATGGTGAGCACCACAGACAATAAGTTGGTGTCACTGCGCATGTACCAGCAGTGCCCGAGGACACAAGGCTGTGGAACTGACCGACCTGTATGGCTTAAAGGTTTGGACGTTCATTGTACAGTGTATAAAAAAATCCTAAAAATTCTAATCTTAAAAGAGTGACCATGCTTCGCCCTTGTAAGTAGCTTTAGAGATTGCATTATGTGAATATTCTAAGAGTTCTGGCTTTCTGTTTACTATTATTTCTAACATGTAATAAAACTACTAGTGGAAAAGAACAAAGACCGCAAACCTCCGCTAAGACAAACAATTACCATTAATCGATTACCACAAAAATTTGATCATTTGTTCCTTGACCCATGTCTGACCTATCTTTTAAAATTATATTTGATCAAAATCAGTCCATAACTTTGTGCATATTGCTGCTAATAGACACAAGAACGGAGCTGAAAACAACATCCTTGGTGAGGGTAATAAACTAGATCAGTGATTCTATGGTGTTTGAATAATTCTGCTCTCTGAAGCCGATGTAACGCAACAGAGAGTCCCCCTTGATAGAGAGTCCGCTTCCCATTTGTTTTCACAGGTAAGCCTCGCTGTAGATTTTGACCCACTTAGGTGAGGCTAACCCTAACCATTTTAACTAAACAGAGGGCGGATTGTCTGTTACACGGACCCTCAGTTTCGTTACACCGGCCCTCTATAAACCCTTAACCGACATTAGGCCTTCCTGCCATGAACTAATCAGGTATTAAGAAAATTACAAGTAGGAGATATTCATTTTAATTCTAAAATATATATTTGTTTACTTTATAACTCTCTCTCTCTCTCTCTCTCTCTCTCTCTCTCTCTCTATATATATATATATATATATATATATATATATAATCATCGTGTCTATCTATCTATCTATCTATCTATCTATCAGTACATATATGTATATTGCTTTCAGGGACACATCCTACCGTGGCGGATGGAATAGTTTCGAGAAAGGCGTGCGTCCCAAATTTTACAGAGGAATATAAGCCATGTTGCAGACGGGAAATAGATATTAGAGTGAAGAATTGTGGAGCTTATTTTGTGTACCAGCTCAATAAAACACACATTTGTGAGGAAGTATATTGTTCAGGTAGTCTCCTCTAATAATCTTCTTCAAAACGTAACTGAAAAACATCCACCCTGCACTTGTTTTGCAGCGTCTGTTTCAGACAGAGAACGCTGTCTATTAAAAGAGAGAAGTCCATCGTCTCCCTTACAGTGCCGAAGGTCTCGATTTCCTTCACACAACACAAAATTTCCATATCCCTCCTCTCTCTCTCTCTCTCTCTCTCACACACACACACACACACACACTTATGCTATGTATTTTGTTTTCTCCTCTTCCTATAGCCAAGTACCCGTCACTGCTAAGACGTCCAAAGTTGAGGGGCCCAAAGATCCTCAAAACAGCACAAGGGGTGGAGGAGTTTCGGTTTGGGTGCCACATCCCGTACCCTGCACACGACGCCGATGTCTTTTTTATGGTGAGATGGTACGTACCAGTGGCGGATTTGGGGGGGAGGGGGGGGTCACGGGTCCCCCCCCCCCCCCCGCCTTCGATTTCTGAAAAAAAAACAACAACCATGATACACTCTTGAAATTAGAATTTTGACTTGCTGAATTATAGTTATAAGCCGTACCATATGGCACCGTTTGCCATCTAAAATACCAAAAAATTTTCGGACCCTTCAGAAATGTCCATATTGCATTTGCAAACGCTTACAGTAAACATTGTGCCTTGAAATACAACTACCGCTTACAGAAACACAATCTTGCACAATGGTGCTTTTGTACTTAATGCTACAACAAGCAGCTGACAAGTGATTTCTCTTTTAGGTTGTTTGACGGCAAGCCGTCCCCCGTGGCCCCGATGTCCCAAATCTATTACGTGAATGGAACCTCCCGTGTCCACTATATGAAGGACATCCACATGCTCCCAGCCGCCTACCACATGAATAAACATGTAAGTTTTTTTATTTTGTCTTTTTTCTTCCGTTTTTTTCCTTTATAAATATAACCGCATTGGTTGTCTTAAGTTAAGGGTGCCCTAAAATCTGTTAAATTCAGATGTACAGGTAGTCTTTTTCAAAACAGTAATAAGCCAAATTGATAAAACATCATCCTGTCCTTGTCTGGTTAAGCTTTTTTTAATCATCTATCAAAATATCTGAAGGCTCTATTGGGGGATAGGTTAATTCATCATCTGTGTTAAATTTCATGGGCACATTTGTGACCGCATCCAAATTTACACATCGTATAATACAGGGTACCCCCCCCCTCCCAAAAAAAAAAAACATTAAAAAAAAATAATTGTTACAATGGTCCATCAAATTTCAAGAAAAGTGCTGAACGTTTACTTCAGTATGTGTATGATAATTATCCAAAGTTTTAGTTTATACTGCCCTTTCATCAAAAAATGCTGGTGGCATTATCAGCAAGAAGTACTTTCATTTTTATTTATTCAAAACTCCAAGGGTTGTCATTCCTAAAAAAAACGTACTCCCACTTCAAATAATCCTGGATCCGCCCCGGAGCACGACGTGTAAATTTGAATGCACGCTATGACGACGAAAGTCAAGCTATGTTGGTACTCGGTATAAATGTTATTTCAAGTGTACATGTAGTGTGTAAAAAAGACACAAATCTATGCTAGAATTATCAACCTTCGACACTCAACGTACCTAGATCCTTATTGATTTTATCCCCCTGTCTGTTTTAAAGTATACGTGGCCTCTGTTATCAATAGGTGAGCTGCAGTGTCCAGCCATTCTTCTATCCACAATGGAGCAATCCCCATGGCGGTAAACTTTGGGAAAGCAACTCATATTTTGCAGGTATTCAGGTGAGATGCGTCACTTTTAAAAACTATGTCGATATATTCCACTGTGGCCTAAAAGGCTATTTTTAAACTTTCTTCTTACATAACAATATGGCAAACCACGACCAAATTCTCTATGATACGTACTTTAAACTTAAAGGGATGATAACTCTTCGTATGGTATCTATATTTCACAATAAAAACATTGTGAAGAACTTATTGAAATATAATATTCATGTATTCTGCTGTACCACAAAAACGGCAGTTATAGGTATTTTTCTGATATCTTTTTAGAAAAAAAGCAGGGACTAACTTTGAATGCAAAAATGGATTCATTAACCATTGCTAAGTATGGGAAACGTGTTGTTTACTCCAGTAAAATTCATTTTTTGGCCAAAACGAAGAGTTATTATCCCTTTAATTACAGGATTTTTGATGAATCGCAAATGTTGAAGATAACCATTCGCAGAGTGCTGTTCGACTCGGGTAAACTCTATTCTGCGACGTATGTCTGTAAGGAGTTTGACGTTTTAACAATATTTCTTTGTAAAACGGAAAAAGAAATCTGGACAACCCCAGTTCGGCTTAAGTGTTTAAGTTTTAAGTTATTACAAACAAGACCTTTTAGTTTCTCAATGGTACACTAGGCAGCTTAGATTCTGAGCAAATTAACTTTGCAATGGAACTCAATCCACGCATGATAATTTGTGAGGTGGGATCCAGTTTCCATCTTAACTTGAAGAATATCGTCAATTGTGATCAGTTCTTCATGGAGTTTGCAGTCAGGCTGACATCAAATGGAACTGAAACCATTTACCAACCGGTACATTTTGCTTCAGTTCAACCCACCTGTGGTACGAGTGGAAGAGAAGATGCAGGCGGTCAAGGTGAAGGTCATCTCAACAATACCTGTGCTATGCAAGATCCCCAATGCGGACCCTTCCAAGTGTGTGGTTGATTTTAACCTGGATTTAGGAGAAGGTAATATTGCAGCAAATTCGTTGCCAATTTGCAGCAGTCCTGATATTTTGCTAATGGACGGTGCTTTTTATATAAAACTGGAAAAATCAGGATGAAATATGAAATGCTACTTATTTATAAGAGATCTCGGGTCTTGTTTGACAGGACAAAGGTGCCTTCGAACTTTGGTATGAAAAGCTTTTCCCGTAAATCAATATAAATAAAGTGCCCCATACGGTAAGAAATTTTTACCGTATTGGCCGTATAACTGATTACGTCATCAAACTGCGTGTCAGAGTCAACAAAGCTGACGCGTGATGGCCTAACGCTCTTCGACAAAACGTTTTCAATTTTGGACTTGTGAGCATCAGTTTTAAATAAAATAAATAAATGTATATTAATTAGAAAATGAGTAAGTGATAATTTTGAAAAAGAATAAAGTTTCTTTATCCTTATATACAAGTTATCATGATTGGTACTATTTAATAGTCTTGTGCAGATTGATCATTCTAGGCATACCCTGTACTGTGTCGTTTCACAAAGAATATCAAATATGCTTATCGCAAAAACTACTCGTTGGTGGTATCATGTTAACGCACAATTTACCTGTTCAGGTAACGAAGTAGTTGCGGAAGAGTGCTCACTACAGTTGACGCGAGCACACTGGAGAGACAGAAGAAAACGAGCAACCGTCTCCACTAAACTGCTGTCTGTCAGGGACTTTGTAAGCGACGGAACGAAGAATGTCTCCGCAGTATTCCAAAAGCTTTCTGCCGTTCAGGCACCTCTGTTCCACCAGTTACAGCCGCCGGACATAAGGGTAATGGGTTGGTGAACTAGCACCAGGTGTGATAGGAATGGTAGTCCGCTAGGAACAGTGGTCCGTTCCCAGTTACTTTGTACAGGTGACATTTGTCCCATATACTAACCTCAATATACCCCTACTAACCCTAACCTCTACTAATCATATGGGACCCCGGAATTCCATGACTAGGACTACCATTCCTGTCAAACTGGTTTCACAAAGCTCGAAATTTCGCCTCAACCTTTTACATGGACCTATTTTATATATAGTGCAAGATAAATTCATAAGTTCACTTAGATGAAGCAACCCTTGGCCGGAAACATTGACAATATCGTGAAAAAATGCTGTAAGCAAAGTGTTTTATTTTTTAATTAAAATTGAACTTCTGTAAATTGTTATTGGTGATATTAAATTTAAACTTTAGGCTTCAAGTTGAAAAAACAATATTTTGTGAAACAGTTGATTTAAACTTCTCTAGCAAATAGTGATTCTGTCAACGGAAGGAATTACTTTTAGGGATGACAGTAGCACTTGCGTAGGTATGTCGTATACATTTATTGTTTATCGATCGTTCTTAAAAGACTTTTAACATTTTCACAAAATGGCCTTTATATAGTCGGTTATCCGATTTTAGCAATCCAAGCGTGGCCCAGAGTATAGACTTTTGTGAAAAGGGTCAACTGTCATTTTAATGTTTAGGGAATTTTGTCTGATGTAATTGGAATTGGCTAAATGGCGTTAAATGGAATATGTAGTGCAGAGGTTTCAAAGGTACATTTTTAGAAAAATGTATCTCCTACAATCTACATAAACGCAATGCGTATGAGCAGTAAATGAATAATCAAAAACAAATGCTGTTAATGCAACTGATAAAATGCCAGTTTATTTCTTGTCCAAAGTCCAAACCATAATTTTTTTTTATGATATCAACACAAAACAACGCGCAAATTAATTGAAACATAAACTCAATTTCAACGAAATGTCATTTTAACTGAAACAAACAGGCTCGTTTAATTTTAGAGTAAAAGATCCAGTTCTTTCTAAGACGGTCGAACGTCTAGCAGCCACGTAAGTCAGCTCTCACGGCAATAAAGGTGTGCCATTTTATTGGCCAAAAACTGACAAAACGTGCTTTGATATGAGGCACCAAACCATGCCTAACGATGGTATTGCGGTCCGAGTTTCTGGAAAATAACTATAAAATAATGGGTATTTATTAATTGGCACAGATTATGATCTTGTATTCGAAAGCTGTGTTCTCCAAAAGAACGGATATTTGTTATCCAGCCATTCAAAATATTGACCGATGACATATGTAGATGACAATAACGAGGACCGATGACGATTTTTTTTACCAAAAAGAGAAAAGAAACATTCTATTAATCATACAACAAACAATATGGCGGACTAAATCGAGCTTATGATGCTTTCTCGAAGGGCGTTGATATTCAGGTTTTAATCTAGGAGGCAATATTCTGGCTCAGTATGCTGTTTTGCAGGAAAAGATATTAACCGATACTAAATTCGGCTTAAGTGCTTTTGTGAAGAATTTTATCATATTTAATGAATTATTATTATTATTATTATTATTATTACCTACAGTTTAAAAAGAACGTAAGTTATTTCAACGGCACTTTAGGAACGCTTACCTTATCTTTACCGTCCTGGCCTTGATAGGTCATCCATTTAGACCCTGAAACGCTGTACTGCAGCTTGTATTCAGTTAATTTAATTAGGCTTTTATCACTTATTTTCCGAGGTTCTGTCTGACAAGTTTCCATTATTTTATTGTCTATAAGGGGTTATATGGCGATTTTATGAAACTCGTTAAAATACTTACCGATCCAAAAGTTTTTATTTGTTTTTAATTTATTATTATTAGTAGTAATAGTAGTATTTACGGTGGACAAGTACCTTGTTCTTGTTTCGTTTTCTGCAATTTTTATCATTAAACAAGGCGATTAACCAATCAAGGAGGGGGACGTGGCACGCTCTCTATGTTCCTTTAAAACTTGTTCTTTCCAATGTGTTTTAGGTCGAGAGTAGCAGCGATGCCACAGCCATGTGCAGCTGTACCGGAGACCCACACTGCACCCCATTCGATCGGAAAGAGTAAGAACTTGCATATCCACTAGATCATTGAACAAAAAAGTTATTCGGTGTTATTCATGTAGATTTTTTCATTGGCTTTAGCGATATTTAATTGCAAGGGATAAGAATATGATTTGAATAAAATTGTCGCCATATTGGGATACGCTCCAAAAAGGGAGCAAGGCGAAGTTCCTGAGAAAAATTATTTAAAAGGAAAATACTCGGACGCTCAAAGCATATTTGTGGGTATTTCATGTTTGTTCCTGTTTCCATCCAACCAATTTTTTATTTCAGAACCTTCCATATGTACAGTGTTGGCGAGTTTGTACTGGCTAAGAGCACGTCCCGACCATTCGAGGTAAGAGGGTGAAAATCCTAATGTTCTATCATTCCACGGGTTATCTGGTTACTGTTTGGATAGCTCTCTTATTTTAGTTGTATAGGAGCTACTTTTCTGCGCAAGAATTGTATTTTTTTTACCTACTGAATACATACAATACAGTACATATACAACGTGTTCCCGTGTGGCTTTGCCTCAGTTTTCGGTCTTACATGCTAATGGTAACCTTGTCGCAGGTAAGGCCTCATAGCGCTGTATTTTAAACTCCCGTCCTTATGAGTATCCAAACCATGGTGGATTAAACTGTGAGACAGCAGCCAGTGATGCAGGTTCCTAGTGGTTTGTACAGCTAATTAAATCCCGTCCACCAGTAGATTTTTGCTCACTTACGTCACACTATTCCTTACCTGTATGAATTTAATAGAAGGCGAACCTTTGGCTACTTATTTTAATAAAACACCGAAAGTGGATATGTGCAAGTTTCAGTGCTAAATCTAAATGTTGTCAGGTTCACATGCGCACCTGGAAATGTAATTCTCGCGGGGCGAGCTGTATCTGCGGCGTGGCTGCACGCGAAGGCAATGACGTCATCTTGATTGACGGATGTCACAGTGTTGGACTAAAGATGAAGCAAATGCGAGTAACAACTCACGTGAAGTCCAACAGTCAATTGGCGGCAGGGACGCGTATAAAGCGTAACAAAGATGGCAGAATCATTGAGGTGAGCATTACATGACTATCAACAAAAGAAATAAATACTCAGATAACACTTATAGGTTTTTTGACTAAAGAAACCACGTAGGCCTATTTCTAATTCTTTCGAAAACATGCCATAAATGGTGATCAAAAAAATTTTGAAATGAATTTAAAAATGAATTTATTTCTTTATTTTTGGTAGAGAGATACAGTTTAGGGAGAAGGACTTATTGGATATTAACTGGTTTTTAGTGTTGATTGCCGTCTTTCAGAGTGCAACCAATGGCCATACTTTGCTTTAACAGTCCGTCGATTTATGAACTTTTGTATTATAGGCCTAACATCTTACACCAAGAAACTGGTTTGTGAAATTAACGTTCTAAAAAGACCACCATGTGTCTCGTCCTTCCTTTATTTCTGAGCACAGTTTTATTTGAAATGTTGATTTCTTTATTTATTGACATCTTTTTCCAGGTATTTTTCACTTCGGGTGCATATCTGAAGGTATTATCTAACCGGCGTAGTCTCGGTGTTTACCTGACGGTGCCCAGTGACGACTTTGAAAATACCGCCGGTATCTGTGGGGTGTTCAACGGAAACGGTTCAGATGATCTTACGGGATCCGACGGCGTTAAACACCGCTTTGAGAGAATTCCTTATGTTTTCACGGAGAGTTGGAGGTAGGTGCTACCCTCTACCAGGGACACAGATTGATTTTTCACTAGATATTAAGAGATATGTCTCTGGTTAAATAGATGGTACATCGCGCGTTTTCTGCCCTAAGTCGTTTTCCTCGTCCGGTGTCGCCGTTTCCATTTAAAGTGTATTACTTGTTTTAAAAAAGAAAAAAATTATTTTGACATTTTGAAAGGTTTTAAATGACGGTTTATACTTCTTCTGGGATATAAATCTTTGAATGAAAGTCTACTTTCTTTGAAAACATCATCAAGGATTCAGAAAGGCCACAGCCTGTTTGACCAACTGCCTCCCCCAGAACCCTCCGCTAGTACAAATAATCCTGCCTTTTGTCAGTGCAACAGAAGAACAGGAAACATTGATTGCCGCCCTGAGAACAGACAACGTAATCCTGTCAGAAAGGTAATTTTAAGAAAATAAAGTTGATAAGGAATTGAAGTTTCTTCAGTCAATGACTATATCCCTTTAGGTATTTAACAAGAACATGTATATTACCTCATTACTGGAAGATTGTGACCTGCCTTAATAGAAAAATAAATCAGATACTGGTGAAACTGCAGACGAGGCAAGTGCTGTACCTTCCAAAGCTTAGCCACATTCTTGCTTTCCCACTAATTTGTAATGATAATCGTTAATGACCCTGTGGTGGCTGTTTTTTTTTTTTTTTTTTTTTTATTTTAAATAAGTACTTTTTGATTTACCCAGATTAAAAGGAAAAAGGAATTCACAAACGGGG